GTTGGGGAGCAAAGGTCATGGATCAGGAGAAGGCTACTGCAAGATCCAGGTGAGAGCACACGGTGGCATTAGGGGAGAAGTTGATGTTCAGAGAATTCTAAAACACATAGAATAACTGAATCGAGGCAAGATGGAAGCATTCAATGATGGGGCCCAGGTCTCTGTTCTGAGCAATTCATTAGATGTTAGGTACCGCTTACCAAACAAAGGAATACAGGAGGAGGGGTGGGTGTGGAGAAGAGAGATGTCACTCACGTGCTTCCTCAGTTTGTGCTGCCTATGGGACATGCCCCAGAGGTGAGCAGAGAGAGATGAACACGTCTTGAGCTCAAAGGGAGAGCTACGGCCTGAGGGTGGAAAGGTGTGTGTCACCAGCCCAGCGAATTCAGCTTGTACTTTGGGAGGGCAGGGCGTGAGGAGGTCTGGGGTGAGGGAGAAGAGAGCTGAACACAGAATCCTGAGAAACACCACTACTCCAGATGTTTCCACTCTCAAGAAAAACAACTCCAGCTATAAATTATGACCGTTAAAAATAATGGACTTCTTGTTTTCTTACTCTGGCAAGTACGTGTTTGTTGGATGAATTTTTTAAGCTATGTTAGAATTCTACATACTCAGAAGTAAAGATGAAAATGTGAATAAATACGTTGTTCACTAGGCAGCCTTTCCTGGAACCACACAGGCTAGCAACATTATTCTGTTCAGCATGGTCTCAGGTGCCTTTGACTTTGTCCCGGTACAGTTGGCGCTCTCTAATGTCTCGTGTTGACCTACTTCTCAGCCCAGCCACGGATGCAGCCAGCAAGGCGGGTCTCCTTCTCCGTCCGCATCTCTCCACATCTCCTTAAGTCTAAAACTCTCTTTTCTCTTGGCTCTTCTCACTCCATTGATGGCGAGGAGGAGTTGCGTAGTAAGTAAGCCACTGTAGTGTCCACGGCTGTTCTCCAGGGTCTGACAGTGCTGAAAATGCTGTCAGCTTGGTTCTAAGAAACTGGGGATTTGTACCCCCTTGCATGCCATTGTTTCTAAACCATTTGTCTTCCTGCTTTGCTTTGAGAATTAATTTGGATGAAACAGTTTTTGTCTGCTATATGCCACGTGCACTGGTTGATCTAGTGGCCTGATTCCAGGGCACGGGGAGGTGTTCCCATCCCACCTTGTACCTTTTGTAATACTGAGCGCTGGTTTCACAAAGCTTTCTATTTGATAGTGTAAATTTCATTTTCCCATGTTTTGCTTTTTTTTTGGTCTCATGAGACAGATATCTAGATATCCACCTGTGATATTTAAAAGCTAATGTTAAACTTTTTTCTTCTCACCTTTCAGACCTGTCTTTAAAAATACCTTTCCGTTGGGGCCCCTCTCTGGCTAGAGCCTGCAGCTCTTGACCTCGGGGTTGTGAGTTCAAGCCCCACATTGAGCATAGAGATTACTTTAAAAGAACAAAAAAAAGAAGATAAAAATACCTTTCCTTTGAGTTTACACCACGTGGATCAGGGAGTAAGAGTTATAGATGTATTTCCTAACTTCCCATTTTCTCTCCTTTGGAACTTTTATTTTTCAGTCCTTTTACTACAGTGTGGATTTCAGATTAATATATTCTTATTTGATAATGCCTAAATTTTAAACACTCTGTCTCTCAAAAAATAAACATTAAAAAAATTAAAAAAAAAAACTTTATAAGGTTTTAGTAAGCTTGGAAAGGAAATGAATTCTACCCCCTGTGAACATCACTTTTCAGTTATGCAAAATTTCTGGAAAATTCCAGGATTGCTATTTTTAATGGAAAAAACATTTCTAGTATAAAGGTAAATACTGAATTGTTTTCATATAACTACGGTAACATCTTGATTTGCGAGTATAATTCATTCTAAAAACATGCTTGTGATCCAAAGCACTTGTATATTAAAGTGAATTTCAAGAACCATTGGCTCATGTGACCATGTTGTGATCATGTGACATCTGGCATCATGTACTACTCGTGTTGCAAGACATCACTCATTTATCAAGTTGAAATTTACTAGAAATGTTTGCTTGTCTTGCAGAATACTCATTGAACAAATTACTTGTAATCCAAAGTTTTACTGTGATAGGAGCCTCAGAGAATTACAATATTTGTATAATTGAGCAACCTAATTCCCTACCACTTGCTGACCCTACATTTCAGCAGTATTTAGGTATCTAATTATTTATTAAAATATTAAAATTTTATAATCAATATTAACCTGAGGGTGACCTCTTTGCATTGTTCTTAAAAGAAAGTACCTTATGTACAGTAACATAAAGTTTAATTTCTCTTAAATGGAAGTCATCTTAGATTCAGTACTTTTTTCATAATGAAAAGATGTTTAGTGAATAGGCACACCATAAGATACTTTATACCAGTTGTAGTAGGAGGGAAGTTGTGAAAATCTGCTTACAACTTTGAGTGTTCAGAAATTGTCAAGTCTGTTTCATCTCAAAGTATTGTGTACCTGGGGACATAGGTCCATATGTGGCAGATGAGCAGAGTAAGGTCCCAGTGGTATTTCTTCTACCTCTAAGACGAAATTATTAATCTAGAACGGCACTGGTTATACAGCTAATCCAACAGGATGAAATTATAAAAGTATAGAAGCTGGAAGAAACCTTTGAACCAGTATCTAGCCTTCTTCAAAATGTGTTCCTTACCCTGAAATACCGGTGAGAATTCTGGAGGTGGAGGGGAGAGGAAGGGAAAGAAAGGGATTGGTTCATGGCCAGATAAATTGAGGAAAAGTCCAGTTAAGCTGGTTTCAGATGCTAATGTGTACATTGTGAATTCCCCAGGCAGTGTTCAATAAGTTGTGTTTCCCAAATGCATTAGCTAGGTAACCACAATATGTGCCTGACTGTGGATAACATCTCATGAGACTAGTATTCCATGGAACGCACTTTAAAAACCATTGACCCGGTCCATCCAGTAGTTCCGACTCTGGAATATTAGTATATTATGTCTGCAGGTTATTTCAAGACTTTAAGAAAATCCTACTTGAAATACACTGTTTACCTGCCATAATACTTTGTAGGCTGACTTCAGTGACAGATTTCTTTGCTTTTGTCTGTAATTATACCGTAGAGGTATCATTGGCTAATTTATACTCTTAGGTGCACTGAAAACTTGATGGCCCTTCAGGAATCTCAGAGGCATTGGTTGATTAACCACTGTTCTCAGAACCAAATCTAAGAGGTCATAGTAAATGAATGAATTTTTTCTTCAGCAGTGAAAATGTTGGAAATCCTTACCAGAGTCCCAGATTCTCCCAGTACTCAATCACATATTTGTTCAGTTTCTAATTTATTCAGCAGAAATCTACTGGGAGCTGATTCTTGGCCAGATCCTGTGCTAGTTGGTGTTTTTCTTCATTATGGATTTTGCTTTCACTTTGTTCATATTACTAGGTTGGTAACTTGCTAGGTAATTGCTCTAGTTAGTGTACAACAGAGCCTGACAACGTGAGAGAGTTTAATGCTGCTTCTGTCATTCAGGGTTCCTGGGGTGCAAAAGGTTATAAAGCCACTGATCTAAACCACACTCTTGGTTTTTTGTTTAAGTAAATTAAGGTATCCTGAGGTTAAAATGCTGACAATTTCACACCTAGATCATGCAGAAACTAGGGAACAGATCCCAGATCTTACTCTTACTCTGCTCATCTCCATGACCATGCATTGTAAGTGAAATAGAAGAACCCAAGTAAGTAAAAGGAAAAGCTATAGAAAGTACTCTTTTGAAGACTTAGAAATGGTTAAGTTTCCTATCTATTATTCCTACCTGTTGGCTATTCACTTAGTAATAACTACCATTTTGCATTTCTAATCAGAATCTAAAACAGGTTGGACATTTAAGTTCAAATGCTGGTAATCTAGTAGTAGAACATCTTCAGATCTCTGTCAAATGAGGGTTTTACTCCTGGTCATCTCCAGTCCTTCAAACCCACCTGCAGGAGAAGGTGTGTATTTTGTTCACACTGTAACAGGAGTTGTACTGAGCGGCCTTTGTCCGCCTGGAATCACACACACAAAGTATTTCCGTGCCTGATCTAAAAACTGGAAATCCTTCATCGTGGTATGATTGAGACCATCTCCTCTAAGTCCTGACGTAGCTCCAGCTTTATTAGCATGTTGTCGGTAAGGTATCGTAGTGTTCCTAATGCTTTCTCCACTTACTGCTCTGCTGTGTGCCTTAGCCTGGGTGCTAATGACCCGCTTCAGTTTACGCTCCGATGGTGACGGAGGAAGGAAGGATGCACCTGCCGTACTCGCCATATCAGTGTCAGCCTGGCAAGGACCACACCGTCAGTTTCATCTCCCTCATTTCACAGATGAGGAAGTGAAATGCAGAGATCTCACCCCAAATCAGTAACAGGACCAAGACACCACCCACCCACCCACACACATACACACACACACACACACACACACACACACACACACACACACACACACAGAGCCAGCTCTGGTGCCCTTTTCTTCTTCACTCATCCATTTCCAGGAATACTCCGGAAAACAGCAGGTACATGGTAGCTAGATATTTTGGTATGGAAATCCACGAAAGCAAAATGAACAGCAAACAGAATATGAATGATATTTCATTTTCGATTTTGTGTTCTTCCCGTGATGTCATCTCAGAAAGATGGCCTATGGAAACGGAGCGTTGACGAGAACAGGAATTAAACATGTTTCGTGTATGTTTGAGCGTGGGGACAAAAATGTTGATTTGGGGCTTGCTCAGTGATGTGATTCTTGGATGAAATTTTTTGTCGTGGGGAATTCACGCCTACCGCTGCCTATTTCCAGTTCTGATACTGAGTTTTGAGGTGAATTTTTCCTTCTTCCAAACCCTTAGGAGAAGGCACTGTACAATGGCTTTCGGATGTTCTCTCTGCTCTGCGTGTGTCGTTGTAAATATTTTAAGCCTCTTATCTGTCACCCAGGCACTGTCCTTTGGTTCCAACTTTTCCTCTGCCATTTTTGTTTTCCAGATTCACGGCCTTTCCACAGCACCAGTGCTAACCTGACCGAGAGGTACTGCACGTTTATTTTGTTACTCCTTTCCCCGAGATGAAGGAAACCCAAGATGTCTTACGACATTTCACTAAGTAAACTGAGAAGTTAATTCAGCTCATTGGATTCTTACTTCCTTAAGTGATAAATTTGGAATAATGGCTACAAGTGGTTTGTAGTGAAGACTCTCTATCGTTTTTAAATAATGTCTTCAGTAGTTTTTTCCTTTTGTTCTCTACACTGCCCTGACGATAAAGGTTTGCATTTATTCAGGAGAGGAAACACTTGTATTCAACTTTATGAACTTCTGTACTCTGCTTCTAAGATTTAAGCCCTAAGCCTGACAACATTTTGTTTCACTGTTTGCACGCGTGTGTATTCGTATGCACACGTGTCTGCGTGTGCATGCGTGCGGGGAACTGTACTTTAGCCATTTTAAGCTTTAAAGCCATTTTCTTCTGCCTACACGGATATGGCTCATAGCTTTGTCCGAGTAAGTGAATTGGTTCTTTACTTGACAGCAGGCAGGTTTGTATTTTGACTCATTGTTTACTATTCTATTCCTCTTGTCATGCTTATGGGGTTCTAAAATATTCTAATGTAAGCATCATGGGGGCTCTGATTACTGCCCTGCACTTGAACATGTGTCTTTTCGCAGAGGCATCGGTTGTGACTCAGTGATCCAGAACGCTCAGTATGAATGCTTCTCTTTGTATTTCTGTCGTACTTTATTTCTCCTTTGTCTTCTCTGGAACAGTGCTCTCACACCATTTCCCCCTTATCATAATAACAGACTGCTTTATTTTGTAAACAGTACTTCATGTATAAACAGACCTTAGCTCCTGAAGAGGATTGTTCCCCCTCTTGAGGGGTGCCTCTGTCCTCTCACAGAGGCCCTTGAAGTAGACACGGCTTTTCTGTGGAAAAGTTCTTAAAATAACGATTGTAGAACACCTGGGGAACGTAGTGTAAGTAGATTCCTTTTCTGTGGAATGGCTTGTGTCTACACGTGCCCCGCATTCTCTGAGGAAGTCCACCGTTGTGAACTTCCTGAGGTCCAAACATGTCCATCTGTGATGGACCCGTGTAGCCTTCCTGAACCAGTAGATCAGTACCCCTGGCTCTGGGTGAAACTCCTACAGCGGAGCTTTCTATACTCTCCTCCCTCCTAAAATCGTGCAAAGCTGCGTGCACCAGTATTGATTGTCCAGTGTGCCAGAAGACTAAAAAAATGGTGTGTGATTTCTGCTTTCAGGGAATTTGGATGTACATTCAGTCATAAAAATTCCTTTACAGCCTTTATTAACACATCCATCTTTCTGTTGTCTGTATGAGTTTCTTCTCTAGCACCTATTTGATGCAAAGGTGTGTATAAATTGAGTGCTATTTTAGATTAAGAAGTTTCAGATAAAATAATAAATGAATAATTGACAGGCTTTTTCACACCAGGCCACTAAAAATCTATTACTAAAACACTGATGGCCGACACAAGAAAACTTAGCCAGGTTTTGGGACCAGAACGGTTTTGGTTTTGGGACCAGCGTGGTGGTGTCCTCTGTTCTCAGGTTTTACTCTGTGGAACCGCTCAGCAGCCTCTGTCCGTCTGTTCCTCTGCTGCCCATTGTCACGTGTGTGCATAAGTTGACTGTGACTTGTAGCTAAAATGATACATGGTTATGAAGAATTGTATTTTTTGGCTCTGTGTTTACTTTTTAAAAATTTCTGTAGTCTTTTTTAAAAATCACTCTTCTTGTTTTTTTTAGTATAACAGAAGAGACCTATAGTTTCCTGCCTCAAAGCCCCTCCAAGAAAGATTTTGAAGGCAAGAGTGGAACAAAAGTCAGCCGCACGTTCAGCTACATCAAGAATAAAATGTCCAGCAGTAAGAAGAGCAGAGTAAGTACCGTTGGGGGCATTCCTTGCGTGATGGCCTTCGTTGGTCATCTGTAGGCTCCTGTCACAGCCTGCATGCACCCAATACCTAATTAAATAATGAGGACGTAAGGAAATAAGCACAGAGATAATCCTTGAAATGGCCTAATACTTGAAGAAAAATAGCAACAAAAGGTAATACCACTAATTGGGTTTTTACTATATGCTAAGAGCTTTCCATGTATTATTTTATGTAATCGTTTCCATAGCCGTATGAGGAGATCCTGTTCTCCCCTTCCTGGGAGTAAGCTACCCTGTGAGTGTGTGCTGCTCACAGCAGTGGAACCAAGATTCCATGATCCCATACTCGACCACGTGCCTTCGTCAGTAAACTGTGTTTAAAATGCACCTGAGGATTTTATGCCAAGATCAGGAGATTGAAAATATTTGCATTTGGGTTTAGAAGTTAGAAGAATTGGGGCGCCTGGGTGGCTCAGTTGGTTAAGCGTCTGGCTTCGGCTCAGGTCATGATCTCGCGGTTCGTGAGTTTGAGCCGCACGTGGGGCTCTGTGCTTTGGATTCTGTGTCTCCCTCTCTCTCTGCCCGTCCCCCACTCACACTCTGTCTCTCTCTCCTTCAAAAATAAATAAACATAAAAAAAAAAAAGAAGGATTTCCCCACAGAAAATTATAAGAGACTTTAAGACAAAAGTGGATTCTTTGATTTAGTCCTGACTGCGACGCTGTTGCAGGGTATTGTCTTTCATGCGTTAAAATATTTAAACGTTTTTTGTCTGTTTATTTTTTCCATACTCCTGGGAATATTCGAAATACAAAAATAGATAAAAACCACCTGTAATAACCCCACATAGAGACAGGTACTCTTCTCATTTTTTTTCAATGTACTTTCAAAAGAAAGGAAGACAAGGGTTTCCTTTTCTTATACTGATTCCCAGTGCTAAACCAAAATCAGTTCAGTGTCACCTCAGTGGGAGAGGACCTTCTACCTTCCATTCACCCACCCACCCAGCCAGCCTCCAATAAAATAAAGGAATATCTTTTAAAAAAAAAAAATTTTTTTTTCTAAATGGAAATCAGTGACAAGCTCTTGCTAAGGAATCACTATATATACACATGTGTGTATACATGTGTGTGTGGCATGTCCATACACACACACACACACACACACACACACACACACACACACACACACCCCCGTACCTACTTAGAAGTAAGGGAATACAAACGCTGAACTCAAGAATATTGTTGTAAAAGTATACCCCTCACACTCTCCCCAAGCCGCCTGCCACCAAATGTAACAAGCCTCTTAGGCCCTCAGTTAAGTGGGCTGCTGGAAGTAGAGCCCATGTATTTTACCGGGTTTTGTAAATAAGCTGTCTCTCCTTTAGCCAATACTAGGTTCAGTGATGACTCAGAGGAGTTTTTCCACAAAACCTGCCACCGAAATTGTGTTTTCATTTTTCTGGCCTGGATGCAGAAGGGGAGAAAGTGGGGCAGTCAGGAAAGCGCAGGGAAAAATGCAAGGATGTTTCCAGAATAATCCTATATATAAGTATTAACTTCATAATTAAAAAAAATAGGGTTGAGGTTAAATTCAGAACAGAATGCTTAGCAGTGTTCTGCATACTGGCAACAAGGCTTAAACAGAGTCTTACCTGTTGTACCTATCACTTCTGGCTGGGACCCTGGCTGGCATCAACAAAAGAAAATCTTGGCAAAGATCAGTGTAGATTAGCTAGGTACTATCATCAAATGACTTCTGTAGCCTCAGCATTCTGGTAGGTGCTAATAGTGCTCCTAAAGAACTAAAGATCATTGTCTTTGAGAAATTTTATGATCTATTTGGATGCTTTCAAGTGTGTTTTGTTGTCGTTGTTCTGTTTTTAGACTGTGAGGTCTTCATTTGGAAGACCAGTAAATGAGTGAAGAGTCCCCTTCCCATCCATCTCCCCAGGGATGTTGACTTTCAGGGCAGAGCAGTGAATACGCCACTGATCGCATTAGTGAGAGGACACAAACACACATAAACAATGTAAGACTAAATTTAGAAACTGGAACCTGACCTTTATAAAAGTCTCATCCCAGGGGCGCCTGGGTGGATCCGTCAGTTAAGCATCCGACTTCGGCTCAGGTCATGATCTCATGGTTCATGGGTTCAGGCCCCCGCATCGGGCTGTGTGCTGACAGCTCAGAGCCTGGATGGAGCCTGCTTCAGATTCTGTGTCTCCCTCTCTCTGCCCCTCCCCTGCTCATATTCATTCATTCATATTCTCTCTCTCTCTCTCTCTCTCTCTCTGTCTCTCTGTCTCTGTCTCTCTCTGTATCTCTCTCTTTCTCTCTCTCTTTCTCAAAAATGGATAGATAAACATAAAAAAAAGTCTCATCCCATCCTCCATACTTTACAAACTGAAGTACAGAGAGCTATGCTTCAGGTCACAGAACTAGATATTAGGGCAGAACCTCTTTGACTTCCAGCAATTAGTGCACTTCATTTCCTGCTCACTCATAAATAACTTCAAACAACTGGCATTTGCTAGTAGAATGAAGAGAAAGGCAGGACAAAGGAAGGAAATTGTTAGAGCAGAGTCTGGCAGAGACCGTTATCAGTCGACCCTTGGTGTCTGAGCATCTCCTTTGCCAGAATGACAACACTGTTTTGCAAAATGAGCCTGGTTCCTCTTTTCACGCTTGGCTTCAAGACCTTTGGGGGCTCGTGCTGCCTCTAGCAGTGGAAACCCTCAGAAAATTACAAATCTGAAACATGGACTCGCAGTCCATTTCCCATTATCAGGTGTTTAGAAAAGGGCCCACTGGCCACATCCATCAAGAAGGTTAAGAGTGAGCCGTCTTTCATATGGAAGAGCTCACTTGTGTCAATGCACCAAAAGAGAGTAAGAAGTAGGGGAAGTAGTGAAATGATACATTTTACGTCCAGTTACATTAAATGCCCTGACTTAATATGCCATTGCACTGATAAGCTAGAGCTTTCCCCTACAGAAGCATTTCCTTCTCTAAACGATGACAAAAGTAAGTATTTTCTTAGTGTGATGATGCGCACTCTACCGTTTCTCATAACTACTGGCTAATGTCATTTCTCCCTAATGTTAAAACAATTGAAAGTGTGACTGTGGATATTAATACTAGTTTTTCTTTTGAAAATAATGGTTTTACTGCTTTTAAATTATTTTTAAAAGAGCTACTATTAGAGATCTAACCTATTTTTATTAACCTAGTGTACAGTATAATCAGTCCTACCTCTTTTATTTATTTATTTTTTCAACGTTTATTTATTTTTGGGACAGAGAGAGACAGAGCATGAACGGGGGAGGGGCAGAGAGAGAGGGAGACACAGAATCGGAAACAGGCTCCAGGCTCTGAGCCATCAGCCCAGAGCCCGACGCGGGGCTCGAACTCACGGACCGCGAGATCGTGACCTGGCTGAAGTCGGACGCCTAACCGACTGCGCCACCCAGGCACCCCAGTCCTACCTCTTTTAAAGGAAAAATTAAAGCATTTAGTGAAGATATATTAAATTGCCACCTGTAAATTCTTAGCAGAGTCTCTAGGAATGGTTTGGAAATTTTTACTTTTCTTACAATTAGGTATGATAGATATACTCATGAAAATAGTTTGTTGTTATTAACTTAGATGTAGCCCACTGTTCATTGTTATGTTATTATATGTGCTTAAGGGTTGATTTATATGTTGGCAACTCTTAAGTAATATTCTAAGGAGCCAAAAGTCAGCCACTGTGTAACAGATTATTCACATTTTGCCTGTAGCATGGAATTCTCTAGATAGGTGTATAGATATTATCTAGGTAGATAGATCTAGGATTTGAGAAATTGATTTCTGGCCCTTCATATGTCCTTTTAAAACATTAGCAGTATCTGACATGTAATTAGATAAGCGTATTGGATGTTTTTTAGAACGGGGGCAAGCCTAAACAGGAAGTGTAACAGGAAGACTGGCGGGTTCTGCTTTTGTCTTTAGCATCTTCTCATAGTACCGCTTCCTGCCAGTAAGTAAGTTCGCTGGCTTACAGACTATTTAAACACTAATGTGTTTAAATGATCCCGTTCACGCAGAGGGAGTGAAGTGACCCCCTTTAAACCAGCCTGTCCCACTGATTTTCTTCTCTAAGCTTTCCTCCTTGCAGATTAGCCGGGAGATACGTGGGCAGACACATGTACACGAATTCTTAATCTGACTTGAAGTAGGCATTTTGGGGCAAGGGCTGTGCTCCTGCAGACCTGCCCCTATCCAGCCCCACCTCGGCGTGCCCGTGCTCAGCATAAAAGAGCCGACCCCGTCAGCCGTGCAGAGGAGCCGTGTGCCAAGGCTGGAGTCACTGTTAAATCCAGTTCCCTCTCTGCTCCCTTCTCTGATTAAACATGGGCAGCGTGTCCGTGGCTTCATCCCAGCATGTTTCGCAGTCATCTGGAGTGCTCTCTGGTCTTGTCTTTGTAATGGCTTGTCTAAAGCAGTAGGTTTTGAAAGGGAGAACTCTTTCCTTCTGAGTCCCCTAGTGTAGTTATTTCCTGCCTCCTTCCCTGAAATACCGTGGGCGCCGACTTCCCCAGCCGTTGTTGAACATGCAGAAGTCACACTGCAGAAAACAATGGGTCACCACTCGACCACAGGCGAAGCAGACCTCACTGAGGAGTGTTCTTAGGAAGCATCCCGATTTCAACACCATGAGGAGTCTTTCTAAACAGATAGAAGATGTGTTCCTTAACTTCTAAGTGTTAATTGGCCTCAGTCCTTCCAGACTGACTATCGTGTGGCCGAAGCACCGTCCACACACGCTGCATTCTGGGGACTTCATTCTGTTTCATTTCCAGGGTACTTGGCCTTCCTGGCAGCATGCAAATGGTTAAGCTTGTCTTAAGGAAACAAGCAACTTCAGCCCTCCCTCCTTCCCTTTCTCAACCAGTCCCTGGCTTCCTCTTACGGTTTCTCTCATGGCAGCTCGAAGCTGCTATGCTCTGCCCTGCCGGCATGCGCCCCTTCTTCTGTGACAGCACGCTTCCTGGCATGGGGGTCGAATCATGTCGGTAAAATGGGGTCGGTTTCACGAAGTACCCCTCATAACAGTGAGACTCACAGGACCAAAACATGGGGAGGTAAGAGCCTGACTTCTTTAAGGCACTAAATCCTAACAAACACAGAAAGAGACCGGGAGGCGGGGGGGGGGGGGGGGGGGGGGGGGGGGGGGGGGGGGGGGGACGGTGGTTAGGTTACTGTTTTGTTTTTATCCTTGGAAGAACTAGTTTGGATTATTATGAAGGATGAAGGTATTATTTATTATTCAGATTTGATGAGCTTTGTGAGGTTGGAGAGCACGTTAGTTGCCGTAGATGAGTTTCTCAGCTCTTGGAGCACGCATTAGCTTTCTTGAGCAAGGAGGCAGATGCTTTTCAGTTTAACGTTTACGCATGGAGAAGCCTGTGGCCAAATGTGGTTAAGAGCGAGAAATACTTGGAAAAAACTGCATTTGCTATTGCTTGTTATTAGAATGTTACGTACGTACTTCAGCCATTACTAATTTTCACTTAGAACAGTTTCCTGTTTTGTAAAGTGAAGTAGTTTGTTTTTCTCCCTTTCTTGTCCTCTTTTTTGTGGTTCTAAAGTGTAGCAATTTGGCTCTTAGATTTTTGATATGTGTTCCGTTCGTTAACCAAGGGCCATACACGAATCAGACCTGGCCAGCACTCACCAGGTCAGTATGGTGGACAGGTTCTGAATTAGGAAGTCAGAAGGCCCAGGTTGTGATTTGGGCTGCTGATCATTTGCCGTGTGACCTTCTGTGAGTCAACAAACCTCTCCAGCCCTTGGCAGTGGAGAGGAGTGAAGAGAGCAGAGCTGAGGAGTCGGCCAGATCTGGGTCTGCATTCCAGTGGGGCCGTGGTTGGCATGTGGGCTCAACTGTAGTATTAAACACCCTGTGCCTTGGTGTCCTTGAACATGCAGTGGAGATGATGGCTTCTTCACTGGGTGTATGTTCCCATCTGTGGTGCTTGGCGCATAGTAGCTGCTCAGAGCCGGTGTCTGTGATCCTGATCTCCTCGGGTGTACGACGGGCAGCGCGATGCCCTCCCTTCACCTCACAGTTATGGGATCAGGTGCGGTAACGCACGCAGAGGCCTTGATTCAGAGTATGAGGTGCTTGGTAGTTTGTCACAGTGGCTCGCTTCGGGGTACCTGTCCTGCAGGGATTATTTTAGATTGCAACAGCGGTGTGTGTCTATGTGGGGGACGGTAATACTTGTGGCTGGAAGCAGTTGGAGGAGAGCCCCCCCGAGGAAAGCTTCCTGCTGCCCCAGGCTGACGCGAGAAGGGCTGCTGTCCTTCCTGCTCCCTGCCTGCAGCCGGCCCTCAGCTCATGGCCTGCGTCCTCCATGGGCCGCGCTTGGGGGGAGGAGCAGCGTTCTTGGCTGCCCCACGTTCCCCTCCTGCAGCTCCAGAAGCCTCTTCCAGGTGTTGGTCCTGGGATGTTGTGTCCATCAGTCTGAACAGCCGCTGAGCAAGCCGCTGACAGAACTGCTTGGCCTGCCCGGTCTTCCCAGAGTGTGTCTTATGAAGCCCGAACGCTCACAACTTTCAAAGACCGTCGTCCAGGACTGCACTCCTGACTTGCATCCCAAACACTCGCCACGACCCACTGTTGACCACATGCCGTCCGGGTGCCCGGGTGAAGGGAAGGCTCTGGCGTCCAACTAACTCTAAACTCTTTTCTTTGGCAGGAAAAGGAAAAGGAGAAAGAGAAAATCAAGGAGAAGGAGAAAGATTTGAAGGAGAAGGACAAGGACAAGAAGACTGTCAACGGACACGCTTTCAGTTCCATCCCTGTTGTGGGTCCCGTCAGCTGTAGCCAGTGCGTGAAGCCTTTCACCAGCAAGGACGCCTACACTTGTGCAAGTAAGTGACACGCCCCTTCCTTTGAGGCACGGCTCTGGGCTTGCCCCAGGCTTCCCGCCCATCCACCCCGTATCCCTTCCTGGTGTGTGTGGACAAGTCAGCCTGTTGTGTCTGCCTTTAAACATCAGGAGGGTCATCAGTTCTCGATGTAGAGCATACAGCCTGTATGTTTTTGCAGAGAGCCCCAATCTCTTATACGCCGTTCTGTTGTCCTGGAAGTCTGTGTCATCATCAAAACAGCCTCGTGGCCTCCAACTCAAAAGCCACACGGCAGTCCTTTGTCAGGCCGTATGCGCTCATTTTTTGGCATGTGTGTCGGCCATTTGCCAACATCAAGTCGTGGTGACTCCCAAGGGAAGGTACTTTCGTGGGCAGAGATGTCCCGTATTGACCTGTCGCTGACTTGATCAGAAGCACCTTAAAGCCCCATCTGTTAACTGAGTGTGGTTCCTGGTTTTGATAAGATACTGTAAGGCAGAGGGTGGCTAACTTTTTTGGTCAAGGCCCACCAGCAAGTGTCTTAGGCTCCGTGGGCTGCACAGTCCCCACACAACTACTGAACTCTGCTATTGTGCAAAAGCAGCCACGGACAATACATAAACCAGTGAGCATGGCTGTGTTCCGGTAAAACTCCATTTATAGACAGGGAAACTTGAATTTCATGTCATTTTTATATATTATAAAATATTGGTCTGTATCTCAACCATTTAAAAATGTAATAACCGTTTGTAGTTTATGGGCCGTACAAAAGCAGGCTACCAGCTGTATCTAGCAGAGACCCGGCTCTAAGGCACCGTATCTCAAAACTGTTGTCGTTAGATGGATAGAAAGTAATCATTGCAGCGCACACACCAAAGAAAATTTGTGAGGCCGCTTGTGGCCGGAACTGACCATTCTGGAGATCAAGCCACCCCCAGGCCCAGCCCAGTCACCCTGAAGGCAGAGATGATTAGCACCGTGTGGCACCTATAACGGGTTCAGACAAGATAGTGACTAACTTAGACGCCAAGAAACACTTCTCAGACTATGGTATTTATGACGTTTCTTGTTCTCAGTCATTTCTGTGGAATACCCCAAGGGATTTGTTACCAAAAATAATTAACTTACTGAAATTTGCAACGTTTAAAAGCTCACTTGAGCAGATTCGGAACTACTGCAGAATTGACTTCCGCTCACTTGCTTTCTTGAAGAGACAGAGTGGAGTTAAGCCAGCACACAGCCCACAGCCCGGCTTGTCTGCACCACAGCTGTCGTGGCTTTCTGAATGACTAGCTTTACCATCACGTCCTTGGAAGAGGACTTTTGTCGATATATCCCAAATGTTGTCTGCAGCCCTGTTGGTTGTACCGCCCTACTTTAAAAACCACACCACCTCCTGGGAGGAGCTCTTCTCGAAATCTTTATGCATCCTGTGGGCGGATCCCACACACGCTTAGGTCCTCCCCGACATGCGACTCACCAGGAAGTTGAGAGTTCCAGCGTTAGTGGTAAGCTTTATGTGACTTCTAGGAAACGAGGGGCCACCACTGTCCACTCCCCCCTGCATGTTACTGTGGGGCCCAGGTTCTGTTAGGGCACTTCCCTAGGCCGTCAGCCGAACGCGTTCAGTTTTCTTGACACAGTCAGCTCCTTGGTACTGGGATAACTTGGTTACCTAGGGCAGCAGTCACCAAGCACTTTTTAGTATGTTCGTGCATCATTAAAACGTCTTTAACCTACTCACGCAGGGTGTATATACGTGTGTGTGTGTGTGTGTGTGTGTGTGTGTGTGTGTGTGTGTGTGTACACACACTAGTTTGTTTATTTTGAGAGAGAGAAAGTCCCAAGCAGGCTCCGTGCTGTGAGCACAGAGCTTGACACAGGGCTCAGTCTCATGAACTATGAGATCATGACCTGAGCCGAAATCAGGAGTCAGACGCTTGACCGGCTGTGCCACCCAGGCGCCCCCAGGGTGTATATATTTAATGCAGGAATTACACACTTGTCCTATACCTTACTTCTAAAGAGCCCATTCCAGGAATAAGAGAAGTCAGATTTGCCATTGTCTTGTGTGCTGGTTAGCTATTGATCTTCTTAATAATACTCTTAGGTCAGTGGGTTCTTTGCAGGAATCTGTGTAAGTCCCTTTTTCATTTTATTTTAGTTGGAATCAAATATACTCTCTAAGCCCACTGCATTGAGCACCTGTGAATTTCCATTCACCACAGCGTGCTGAAAGTGAGCAGATGAGGACAGGAGCCTCTGTTACACATCCCCAGCTTCTTTCAAGTGCTCTTAACCTCCAGGGCCCTCTCGGACATCTAAGCGCAACACAAAGGGCTGAGTGAGGTACCAGTACATCATCTGTTTATTAATTCTGTTTCTCTTTTAAGTCCATATAAATGAGAGCTGTAAAACCTCCCCTCCCTGTGTCCCAAAGAATCATTTTGTGTATCCCTCCTGCAAAGTGCCTGTTCTCCATTTGAGGGGCACTGGTCTCAGAGAAAAACAGAAAGACCTCATATTTCTTGATTGACAGTATGAACTTGATATTCAAAGAACTTCATCAGTGGAGGAGACTGAACACCTGCTTTCTGCTATAAAACAGAAATGTTCAATGCAATATATTAATAAATAATAAATAAATAAAAACACTAAACTAATACATAACCGAGCCTGCAGAAAGGAAAATCCCTGAAGAAACTCCTAATCAGAGCAATGAAGAGCCTCCCTGTCAACCGAGGACAGGATGTGTGGTTCGAGGGCACAAGGTGGGAGCTGGAACTGAGACCCCCGAATGAAACCAGGAGCTTTAAAGGCTGCAATGTCCATACTGAAGGACCTAGAAAAACTCCACCCACTGGCCCTTCAGAAGCAGCAAGGAAACTTGCCTTCGCCCAGGGCTCTGGGTGAGAATTCTGCATTATATATGAATCTGGGGTCCAAATGCACACCATTCATATCTCGAACTAAGAAATTTTTCACAAGCGGTTTAATGAAATCCCAATCTGAAAATGATAAAAACACTAAGGAAGCTCAGCAGAAACAAATACAGAACTGAACCGTAGGGTCACCAGTAAAACAGGCTTCCCAACGGGAAGGAAAATAGTCCTATAAAGCCGAAGCTGAGTTTAAGATAAAAAATACACGGATAACACACGAGGAAGTGAACCACCATGAGGAAGTTAGCAAGTGCGTAGACAGGGGAAGATGTTGCGAATTATTAAAAAGTTAAAATGAATAGAATTTCTAATGTAGGAACAGAACAGCGCAGCTAAGGCGTAGATGTGAAAAATAACTGAATAAAATTTCAGGAGTAGAAATAGCCTTGGAAGGATCTTTGTGGAGATTTTTCGGCTATTTCAGTGTTCCACATCATCAGTAGATTGTTCTGAATTCTGTTTGTTTATAAAGGAGGAAAATGACTTCCACTCTGTAACCTGTTGCAGTGAAAGGAGAGCTGGGTGAATATTCTAGAAACTCTCATGACTTCAGACTGAATTTATTCTTTACATTTAACTGTCAGTAATTATGCACGTGAGTTCCTTAAGTGAAGTTCTTCAACAAAGACTTCTTCACCTGAACTCTGCAAAACACGGCATTTGGTTTTATGATTCATTCAGAAGCCTCCTGTCAACAAATATTTATTGAGCAGCAGTGTGTGTCAGGCACCTTTTGTCTTTTCGATTGAGTATACTTGAGGTATAACACTGGAAATTGAAGGTGTGCAAACACGTGAATTTGATAACATTTATATGTTGTAATGTGATTGCCACTGTTGCGATATTTAGCGCCTCTGTCACATTACGTAATGTCCCTCCTTTCTAGCGGTTGGCGAGGGCTTGTGAGAAGAGTTCTCAAAGCGTCATAACCCTTGGTACCTACTCACTGAAGCGTGATTCGTAATGGGGGAGAAGGTAAAGACACTCGATATCCATCCGTAAAATGTCGTAGATTCATCAGATGGAATTTGGAGCTGGTACTAAAAAGGGTCGGCCAGCTCTTTCTGTAAGGGAACTGGCGGCAAGTGTGTGAGGCTTTGCAGGTCTTTCTTGTGGCCGCTCGGCTTTGGCCATGGTCAAGCCCTAAGTAGTGAACGTGGCCATATTCCCGTGAGACTCTGCCCGCCAAGTGGATAGTTTGCCAGCCACTGGGGTAGCTCTGCAGACACAAACAGGCCTCCAAGACGCTTTGATAAGTTGAAAAGGCAAGAAGTAGAACTAGATGTATGATCTGAACTTACGGAAGACCAGTGAGACACTAATTGTTGATGTAAATACACAAGAATATTTAACAGGATGTACCCCAAGCTGTTGACAGTTTAAAGGAAGAGACTAGGAGAGGAGAGATTAAGGGAGGCTTCAGGTTTTATTTTATACTCTTATTTAAATTTTTTAATGACTGTACTTCTGTTATTTTGTATGAGCAGAACCAAAATGCAAACCTTGGATCACTGATAATTTTAAAGGTTTTTCTGGTTGTCAGCTGGTCTCTGATGAAGGAGCAAAATATGTTGGTAGTGGATTCCAGAGCTCAACAGACAAAGAGCAGAATGGTCACCAGAGAGCAGTCGCTTAACAGAAGACTGGAGAGGTGCCCTGTCCCCACGATACTGACAGCAGCAGCTTGAATAAGAACAACATAGTTGGTTCTGCAGACTCTCAGTGCTGAGGTGTGACGTCAAATATCATCAGAAGGTTTAGGGACAGAACCTGTGTGGAAAGGAAAACCTTTGTTGAAGACCCAGAGAATTTTTTGCATTGTGCTCTAAGGAGGAAAGGTGAGAACCATTGGTTTATGGCTGCAGTAGCGGGGTGGCTCCGGCCGTGACTGGCTGCAGACACCTTTGTTCAGTGTAAATTTGGAACGGAAAGGTTGCCTGATTCATGTCCAGGACATGTTTTGTCTTCTACTGTCCTTGGCTTTTGTGTCTGTGTTCTTTCTAGGTTACAGCAGTTGACTTTTATCCTCCTCGGCTACATTAATTCTTAGCCTACGTGAGACTGTGATGACTCAGGCTT